CTTGTTTTTTCATTGATTGGGGTTCACATCGCCATATGACGTTAGTACTTCACTGTTTTTAGGTCCATTCATTACATTTGTTTACATTTCTCCTGTCATTCATTATTGTTGTAGGCAAAAATACGATGATTGTAGGAGAAGCAAATTTTTAAAAAACCACCCCTTTAAAAATAGATTTACTGCTGGAGCTATCTTAATACCGGTACAAACAGTTTAACACTTTGCAGTCGCACAGCCAGCAGTACAAAATACCCCATCTGGTCACCTAGCCAGTAGTGCTGGGCGGCTAGCCTCCGATTCTTGAAAGCTAGGAATCGTAGGAATCGACTCCGAACCCAATTACTTACTTTCTAAAGATGCGACTTCTTCAGATCTGGTTGAGTCCTAAGATCTTCAGGATTTAGGAGAACCTTGATTTCGGAACACTACGAAGAATCAACTTTTATTTTTCAAAAACAAATTCTAAAAAAAAAAAAAGATTTTAATGATCAAAGTAACTGGAAACCGTTGGTTTATATAAAAAGGAGTAGGAACTTTTCTTTCGTAACATTCATCGTGGGAATCGGTTCCGGAATCGCTTCTCCGCCCAGCTCTACTAGCCAGGCGAGTGACTGCAACGGACGTACTTCTCGGCCTGGGCGCAGAACTGCGTCAAGTGACCGGAGCGGAAAATTTTCACCGTCGTTTAATTATATTGTGCCAAGAGACTGCAAAGTGTTAATTTGTCTAATCTTTTATTTTTATCCATCGCTTATACCCTTTTGGGTGTCGCGGGAAGAAAGAGACGTCTCTCTGTCGCCAGCCGGAGAGCTTGGGCCAGGGGGGTGCCGTGGGTGGTTAATGTTTCCCTGATTCCATCTATCCAGGTCGTTCTCGGTCGCCCTCTAGCCTTGTTGCCATTGAATTTTTGGATGTAGGCACGTTGTGCTGGATGGTGTGTTGGTAATCGTATGAGATGTCCGAGTGGGTGGTTGGCGGGTGCTCTGGTGTGGTTTGCTTCTTCTTTCCTATCAAACATCTATCGTCCTTATCTCCCCTACTTCTTTTTTATGTTTGTTATTCTCTATTAAAAATCTCTAATCTTCTGGCGCTCATATGACCTTATGCAGTTGCGAGCGCCGTAAAACGTCTACTAAAACTAAACTGAAATGTCCGAACCATTTATCTGTGTTGCCGATTTTTTTGCCAAATAAAAACTTAAAACAATTATTAATATAGAGAGCTTTCCTTCATCTCCTTCCAGGACGCGTGCAACGAGAAGATACAGTTCCACCTATCCGCCGCCGGGTCAGTGACTGGTCTGGCCTTCCTCATGGATGATGACGACGGTTACGTGACCTTCACGCGTGCTGGCTACGCCTCTGGCTGGTCAAACGGAGGACAAGCGTCGATGTCGTCTGCTGCTGTGAAGTCTGTTCTGCTCACCTGTTGTTCCGTCATAGCTTTCTGCTTTTTCAATGTGCAGATTACATAGTACATGCTTTATTTTGGGGTTTTATGTTATAATATTCAAAAGCTCCCCCCCCCTTTTTTTTTGCTTTCTTTTTTTTTTTTAAACCAAAATAGAAGCCCAGTTGGTCACCCAGTCATCCGCGCACATATGGAATTTTTTTTTTCAAGGGTGGGG